CCAGTACAGTGGTACCTCGGGTTAAGAACTTAATTTGTTCCGGAGGTCCGTTCTTAACCTGAAACTGTTCTTAACCTGAAGCACCACTTTAGCTAATGGGGCCTCCTGCTGCCGCCATGCCGTCACCGCACGATTTCTGTTCTCATCCTAAAGCAAAGTTCTTAACCCAAGGTACTATTTCTGGGCTAGCGGAGTCTGTAACCTGAAGTGTCTGTAACCTGAGGTACCACTGTATTAGGTTTGACTTACCAAAATTGCCACCTCAGCCTCATAGGCAGCTGTGACACACATTTTCTTCTTTCCAGTCATTGATCTTCACAGCTTCCCAGAGGTAAAAAGTGGTTTCAAGAGAAGGCAGAACAGCTCAGAGCAGCCTATGAGCCAAGCCCAGCTAGCCAACATGATTTTATTAGTTCTGAGCTTTAATTTGAATCTGCTTCAAAAGTAGAAAGTAGTTCTCAACTGCTCTGGTAGAGGCACCCTGTGAAACAGAACCAGCATATGTATTGCTATTTTCTGTGGAGCTAGAACAGTTTACCAAAACTGCTTAGAGGTAAATTTAATAAATGCTTGAAAATAAAACAAAACAAAATATTCTGATGCATTTAGTATACCGAATTAGATATTGGGCATTTGAACAACAATGGATATTTGGGTGTGGGTTTCCACTTTAGTTATATTTTGAACCAGAATTAAGCTGTAGAACTATAGCAGAGACCAGGAACCTGTAGTCCTCTAGATGTTTCTGAAATACAACTCCCACCAGCCCTAACCATTGACTGTGCTGGCTGCAGCTGATGGAAGCTGGAGTCCAACATCTGGAGGGCCATAAGATCCTCACCCCCAAACTAAAGGAGAATAGTTTCCATATTATGTCCCATATGGTATGCAAAATCAATCAATCAATCAATCAATCCAGAAATATTCCAGAACTGTTGCTGATAAAATCCCAATATAAGTTGAAGAGCAAAGGCCATTTCAATATTCATTTCCAATATTATTGACTGAATTTCTGTCTGTCTCCCTCTTACTAGTCCAGTATATAAACCCTGGATAGAAAGATAATATACAGGTTGTCTTCATCAGAGCAATTTAGGTAACCTTACAGCATGACTCACCCCACAGGCTAGTCCTAATAGCTGCAGAGGAATTTGAATCCAAGATGTTTTATTCATTGCACCATGACTGCAAAGCAAACAGATTGGCTTATTTACAGGCTATCTTTGTTAGCATGAAGAGAAACTGAGGTGGCAATCCTATACATAGGGTGGGAGTTATTTCCGAGCCAACAGGCACAGGACTGTATGGTAATCAATTTATTATTTGAATATCAAAGTGTCACCAAGACAGTTTATAAGACACAAGCCAGGCTTAGCTTAGAAAATTTTCCCTTACAAAACAATTAAAGGCTGTCCAAACCAGGCTGGAGGTGGTAAGGAGCATGAAAGCCATTCCTATGACTAGCATGTCACTTTGATTCTGATAAATCCAGTTATAATTGGGCTCCTGAATCTGGGGCAAATCTGTCTATTTTGGTTCTATCCATATCTCATTTTTCCAATCTTAACTTTTGTGTCGGTTTGTGATTTTCTTCTATTGAAAAAAAAGTTTGTCAGGATTTTAATATATGTTCCTCCTAATCTGCACATTTTTGTATGAATTCTTGCCTAATATTTGTTGAATTCTATTTTCATTAATATATACATTTTGTGTACTTTCCCCGCAATATACACATTTTTGCACACCATATCCTCCTGAACAACCTGCATCACAAAATTAAGAAATGTGCAAATTTCAAAGGACAGCTATGTTTCAGTTTGTATATTGTTACAGGAAGTGAATGCTATTGAATTTCTCCCCCAACTTTATCCAGCCCCTCCATGTAGCCCATCATCTAACTATTTGTATGCCTATTTTGGTGTGACAAGAATGGTGCATTCCTCAGACCTTTGATTGTCTCAAAAACTATTGTTTCTTGCCTATTATTATTATTAATTCAACTTATACACCACCCTATACCCAGAGGTCTCAGGGTGGTTCACAACAAGACCACAACATATAAAATGCAAAATAATCCAATAGCAATAATCCAAAAACTTCCCCCTCAATGCTTCTGCTATGTGAGCATGGCCTTCTATAATTTACGGTGCAGAGAAAAGCTCCCTGACAACTGGTTTCAATCTTTTCCTCCTTTTGCCTTGCCATCTGCATCTAGTTGAAAGCCTTTCTGCAAGGTAACATTTATGTGTGCAGGCTGAGCTTGTCTTCTTAGCCCATAACTTTCGACCCACCACGATGGCATCTCGCCATCTTTTCCCCCTGTGATAATGGAAAGTTCTTATCTATCTGTGTTTCATCCATGGATAACCAAAAGCATGCCAATGGAGAGAGAGAGAAGGAGTAAGCCGAGCTACTTTGAAGCTATGCTATGTGGCTGGGATAGATTAGGGCTTTGCGGTATCTGGTCTTTGCATGACTACATGGTGGAAAAGACACAAACAGCAGGCAAAACCAGAACAAGAAAGAAACTCTTCAACTGCCCTCGAGATGCAAAGCATCCAAATGGTAGAAACAGGCATAGCTTGCTTATGTGGCAGGCAGGATGGTGATAGTGCTCATCTGATCTCCCAGCAGTGGACATCCAGCTGTTTACCCTAGAAGTGGGTGGGTGAGGCAGCAGGGAGGCCAATGCTATGTAAACACACCAGCAAGAGTGCTGTCGTAGTTTTGACAGTGTGTTTGCCAAACTCCCCATAGCCTCATTCCTCCGGCTTTCCTTTCTGGTAAGCTTCAGTGACTCAACCTGCAGGAGGTCAATGGAGTGCTACCATCCCACCATGCCATCTGCTATTGGCAGCAATACTGTGCAAACCTGGGAGCATGCTCAATGGATCCTAACTTCTAAGTAAGCTTGGATAGGTGAGATGGTATATCACGTGTTAAATAGTGGGTAGACATAGCAGACGACGCAGCGATTTCTCCAAAGCAGCTCTTTATTTGTAAGCTGGAACAGAACTGAACAGCAAACAGCTCAGCTGGCCTGCTTTTATAGGCAGCCGGTCGTCAACATTGTAGCAACAACAACCCAGGGTTTCCCGCCTAAAGTACTGCAACTGACGTGGACCTGAGTGAAAACTATATACACAATACTCCTGGTGGCTAGGGTGAGAACTTCATCACGGATCTTCTTTCTTTCTTTCTTTCTTTCTTTCTTTCTTTCTTTCTTTCTTTCTTTCTTTCTTTCTTTCTTTGGTTTTTCAAATTAAAGTTTTACAATCACATACCCAACATACAAGGGACACGGGTGGCGCTGTGGGTAAAACCTCAGCGCCTAGAACTTGCCGATTGCATGGTCGGCGGTTCGAATCCCCGTGGCGGGGTGCGCTCCCGCTGCTCGGTCCCAGCGCCTGCCAATCTAGCAGTTCGAAAGCACCCCCGGGTGCAAGTAGATAAATAGGGACCGCTTACTAGCGGGAAGGTAAACGGCGTTTCCGTGTGCGGCTCTGGCTCACCAGAGTAGCTTTGTCACGCTGGCCACGTGACCGAGAAGTGTCTGCGGACAGCGCTGGCTCCCGGCCTCTAGAGTGAGATGAGCGCACAACCCCAGAGTCTGTCAAGACTGGCCCGTACGGGCAGGGGTACCTTACCCAACATACAACATAGAAACAAGATTCCAAAGAATCTCCTGGACTTCCCTTTGTGGGTCCTATTGTTAATCATTTCCTCCTGCATCTTTTATGATAATCCAAATCTTTTACATATCCATTATATACACAATTCACCATTAAACTACAAGTGTTATTCCAATCCTACTAACAATTTTAGCTGTTTACACTGGTTTTTGAGATAAATTTTCCTCATTCCTTAAATTTTGGACTTCCTGATTTCTGATTCTTCTGGCCATTTTAGCCATTTCGGCATAATCCATCAATTCCTCCTGCATCTTTTATGATAATCCAAATCTTTTACATATCCATTATATACACAATTCACCATTAAACTACAAGTGTTATTCCAATCCTACTAACAATTTTAGCTGTTTACACTGGTTTTTGAGATAAATTTTCCTCATTCCTTAAATTTTGGACTTCCTGATTTCTGATTCTTCTGGCCATTTTAGCCATTTCGGCATAATCCATCAATTTAATCTGCCATTCTTCTCTGGTAGGGACTTTATCTTTTTTCCATCTCTGGGCCAATAACATCCACGCAGCTGTGGTAACATACATAAATAGTCTTTTCTGCTCCCTTGGGATTTCGGCACCTAGAATTCCTAAAAGAAAGACTTCTGGGTTTTTTTTAGAAAAAGTTACTTTCAACATTTTTTTCAACTCATATATTATTTCCCAAAATTATTTTACTACCTTACATTTCACAGATCTTGTTTCTACTTTGGCTCAAGCCAAGGACACATGCAAACTGTTATAAAATGATGGACCAGAAGACAGGAGTATAGAGCAAAGTTTATCTGACACTGTGTAATTCTGACTGCAACCAATCTCAACATGGCTGCTGTTCAAGGCCTCTCATTTCTGGTGGTGTTTTCCAAAACTGCTCCCCCTGCCCCACTGCACTCACTCATGGAACACTTGGTTCCCACTTGCCATTACATTTCGGCATCTAAAGAAAATATTTCTCTTCAGAATCAAGAAAGTCTCTTCCAGCTTTGTGGTCAAGGTCTTTTTGGAAACACATGGAGACAGTTTTGGTTTTCTCCTTTGTTTGTTTAAAAGGTTTTATGTAAGTGAGCCAGGTCTTTAATTTGAGGCCACACAGCTTCTATAACATCGCTCTATTCACATGTAACTCTGGGGCTGGAGTTCAGTAGAGGAGGTTTTGCTTCAGGCGGCAGATTCTGGAGGCAGCAGAGAGCTGTAGCAACAAGAAGTTGGAAGGAGAGAGCTGTGTAGGTCATATGTCCTGCCCCCCTATGCTAGCCTGCTGTCCTCAGGTGCAGAGGAAGACACTATTCTATGCCCAGTGTTAGAGTAAGATTCAACTGCCAGTCTAGTCAGTTTTTGTACATGGAATTGGAGGGAGGTGCTATCTTTTACTTGCACTCTGGAAGCAAAATGCCTTGAGTGATTCTCTAGCAACTCTCAGGTATGAAGTTCAGCATTTGCTCTTGTTGTGCTTTTTTTTTTTTTACCTCAGAAAGAGTGAATAGTGTGCTTCAGGGCTGCAGCAGTTGTTTTTTTTACCTCAGAAAGAATGAATAGTGTGCTTCAGGGCTACAGCAGTTTTTTACCTCAGAAAGAGTGAACAGTGTGCTACAGAGCTGCAGCATAATTGTTTCCTAGAATGCTGTTTGAGAGGGAAGAGGTTTGGTAGCTGACATCACTTTTCTGGGGAGTGAGGGTTAATAAAAGAAACCTGCCTCTGCCATAGCAAATGTCTGTTTTCTCTGAACCATCATAAAAAGTTTTTTGGGGGGGGAGGGTGACAGCTCTTCAGAAATTGTGCCCCCTGTTTCTCAGTGGACTGAAACAACCTGCTCCAAATTCAGTCCAAATATTTGTTTCAGTCACATTCAAGACAATGCTATGCAGTTAGTGTATTAAAATCTGCTACCTGGAACAGCCGAGAGTGCCAGTTTGTAAATTCACCATTTTGTGATTATTATTGAGAAGAAGCCCATGCCACTCATCTGCCAGAACTGTAAAGTTCAGTGTGCCAATGAAGAAACCATGCGGGTTTGCATCTGTTTCTGCCCAGTGTAAACATCCCTTTGCCTTGAGACTTTATCTCCCTCTTATATTACACATTTTAACATAATGACTAAATTTGCCACTTTTTTGACATTCTTTCACATTTGCAGCAGGACAGGCATTTATGGTTTTGGCTGATGCCAGTTTTATAGGAGGCATGGAAACCTTTTTATGCCTGTACTTTTTGACAGTGCTAAATCTAAGGCTGGCAATCTTTTAGCTGTTATAAAATGCATTTTCATTGTAGGGAATTCATTTGCTTCTCTACTGCTGCCAGACTTTCTCAGTTGCTTTGTAACCACATCCTCCCCCTGCATATATATTCTGTGCGCACTCCAGAGTGAAATCTGCCTCCCTCAGTAATCTGGCTGAGTCTGCTTGACTTGATGCCACACATTATGCCAGAGTAGTCAATATGGTGCTGCCCAGATGTTGTTGAACTACGACGACCATCATTTAAAAGATTATTGAGTTCATTATCTGAGGCCCTTCTTCATGTGCCTCCTCCCCGTGAGGTCCAGGGTGGGTGGGGGCACGCGACGACACAAGAACGGGCCTTTTCTGTAGTGGCTCCCATTTGTGGAATGCTCTCCCCATGAAGGTTCACTTGGCTCCTTCATTGTATATTTTTAGGCGCCTGGCAAAAATGTTCCTCTTCAGCCAGGCCTTTGGTTGATTAATATTCTACAGCTTTTTAAATGTGTCTGTGGGAAGAAGGGGGGTATTGCTTTGCTGTTTTTGCTTTAATTATTTACTTGTGTTTTTATCTTGTATTTTATTCTGTGAACTGCCCTGATATATTGTGTTCAGGTAATTGCCTGGGTAGTGATGTATGGAAGTGAGAGCTGGACCATAAAGAAGGCTGATCGCCGAAGAATTGATGCTTTTGAATTATGGTGCTGGAGAAGACTCTTGAGAGTCCCATGGACTGCAAGAAGATCAAACGCATCCATTCTTAAGGAAATCAGCCCTGAGTGCTCACTGGAAGGACAGATCGTGAAGCTGAGGCTCCAGTACTTTGGCCACCTCATGAGAAGAGAAGACTCCCTGGAAAAGACCCTGATGCTGGGAAAGATGGAGGGCACAAGGAGAAGGGGGCGACAGAGGACGAGATGGTTGGATAGTGTTTTCGAGGTTACCAGCATGAGTCTGACCAAACTGCGGGAAGTAGTGGAGGACAGAGGTGCCTGGCGTGCTCTGGTCCATGGGGTCACGAAGAGTCGGACACGACTAAATGACTAAACAACAACAACAATTGCCTGGGTGAGGGGCCATTGGGAGAGAACAAAGGAAGGCTGATGGGCTATTAAGAAAACAAAGGAAAAGGGGCTCTGTGCTGGATAACAAATGGGTGGGGCTCCTTCTCCAGCCCTTAGATAGGTAGAAGGGCAAAGCTGGAGTTGAGGGCAGAGATTGCTGCGATGTGACCTGGAGGAAAAAAGCTGGAGGCTGGGAAGGCAGAGAGAGTGAGCGAGAAGCTAATTTCTGCTTGAATCCAAGGCTGTGGCTATGGGAGAAGCAGGACCTTCTTGGGGTGTTAATGTTGTGAACTCCTCCATCACAGGCTCAGGTTGTATATACATGTTAATAAACCATAAAGACACCATAGACTCCACTGTGCTTCATTTTCAAAAGGAAACACTAACCCTAGGTAAGTGCCTCAAACCCCTGGAATCTTGCACTGCTCAGAGATTGCAGTGGCATGGAACAGTACGTTGAATCGTGTAAATGGGGAGATGGGTGTTGCATTATTTTTGTAGATGGTATAGCAGTGTGGTACAGTGTGCAACTTCCGTTTTAATTCAACTTCCATTTCCACCTCCTTGTGGAAGAGAAATATTCCATTCGTGCTAGTCGTGATGGCTATATATTATCTCCAGTATCAGAAATTTTATGCTTCTGACTATCAATTGATGCAAAACAAGAATTGGACAGTACTTTTGCTTGTGGATCTCCTGCAGGCATCTGGTTGGCCTCTGTGGGAACATAATGTAGGACTAGATGGGCCTTTGATCTGATCCAGCAGGACTCTTTTATGTTCTTTCACTTAACTTTTGTGATCAAAAGGGTGCTAGCATGGAAAGAACTCCAAAAAACGGTGAATGAATTGCTCAGCTCATATATCTTTGATGCATGTGAAAATAAAACACCAACTTATTCTATTAGCTATTTTGTCAAAGGGTGAGATCACAAAAGGAGCTTGCATTTCACTAACCTGCCAGTGTTGGGAAATACTATGTAAAATAGATAGGCAAAGTGTGTCATTAATAATGCTGTATTATCATGCCCATCTGTCTTTAGTTTTGGAACCAAAGTGCTATGTTACAGCAGCTGCTTCCCATTTTTCTCTAATAATTACTGTGATTAGATTATTTAATGTGGTACTGCATTTAACATTCCTGGTAGTAACACTGACTCTGATATCTGCTTATAAATATAGAATACTGAAGAGCAGAATAAGAAAGCATAGAACAAAGGATCTATAAACTCACATTAACGTAAGTCTGGTTATCATAAAGAGGTGCACTTTTCCTGAATGTATATCTCCTCCCAATATGTAGTTTATCTTCAACTAAGATACTGGGTAGTCTTTATTGCGGAAAGCTGTAAAGCTTTCAAATTGCAGGCTGGTGTGGTTCCAGATGGGCATTTGTTGTGGGATTGGTGCTGTTCATCAAAATGCCAGCCCAGGGAAAAACGGATAAGTTAAAAAAACAAACAAAAGCAAAGCCTGTTGCTAGTGAACCATTTGTAATATCTCAAGTCAACAACATGTTTACAATATTATGCTCTTGTCTAGAAGCACCCCGTGTTGGCAAAAGGCATCAGATTTAAGACAATTGTTTAATTAAGACAATTGCTAAGGCTGGAGCACATGTCATGTTAATTCTTGATGACTGCAATAAGTCCATAAGTCAATTCAAGCAACATTTCCAAATGGCTCTGAGTTGAAAGGCAGGACTATAGAGAAGGATCAACGTAGATAATACTGAGCCAATGATTTGACACTGAACACAACCAATTAACCACGTCTTCTGTTCCATTCTAGGCCAAGTATCAGTCAGGTTCCATTGTGCGAAATTTTCTTTTGGAGTACACTGGAAATCGCTGCTACTTCCAATTCAGAAAACAACTGTTACATATGACAAATGTAACATTCTGAACTTTTGATATGGAAAATAAAGTTGCAGGATATGGTGCAGGCAGGACAACCATCCAGCCTGTTTTACCCAGATCTGGCCAGAATAGCAAGAGTTGATTTCGCATGCCTTTGGAATGCTGCCAGACTGTTCAATGATATTCATGAATCATCTGTCTCACTAGCTGTCTGTTTCACTGTGCATAGCTGAAATTAATTAGATAAAAGATGAATGTTTTAAAAGAAATTAACTGATTGTATCACACCCTTGATATATCCAATCACTCATTTCAAATATATTTTTATAGTATTTTCATACCACTCTTCTTGGAAAACTACTGGGGCTGCAGTGCCTTTATGCCATTTAGTGCTTAACAGCTCTAGGGTTCAGCTGGATCAGACACACACACCATTCTCTGTCTTCTATCCAGGCAACCAATAAGTATTATCAGAGTTCAAGCCAGGGCCAGCCCAATACATTTTGGCACCTTAGGCAAACCACAAAATGGCACCTCCCTCACTGCTAGGGAAGAAGGGGTGAGTGTAGATAATCAGAAACATCAGGAACAAATGGGGAATAAAAATCTACATTGGGTCTGCCACCCCTGTGGATCCTGCTGCCTGAGGCTGTCACCTCACCTTGCCTCTTGGGTGGGCTGGCCCGAAGTAAAGGACACATTCTAGCTAGGCAAACACACTCATGGAGGTTATAAAGTAAGGCTATTGGGGGGTGACCTGGGGAGAGTCCCAAGGGCCACACTTAGCCCCTGGGCCCAAGGTCTTGCAATCCTGGGGGAAGTTTGCCCATAGCTACTCTGTTAAGAGCCTCACTCTCTCCCCATGTTCATATCTTTATCTGTAAAATAGCAATAAAATTCACTTACCTTGCAGGGCAGGTGCGGAATGATAGAGATAAGATCATAAGGCATTTCACACATCGGAAGTACTATAAAGAAATATATATAATGAAGTGCCACTGGGGATGGACAACAACCAGGGGAGGAAATTACAGCCCCAGTGAAAAGTTTATTTACATTTTTTTCTGTTTAATCAAGTACAGATCTCATATTATGCATGCTCAGGACTCCTTTGGGAGCAGTTCCAGCTAAGGTTCATTGGAAAAGGGGGGGGGTGTTTGTAGCAAAAGATAATATAATCAGGCTTAGACTCACTGAAGGAGAACTGTAAAAGTTTGGAGAAATGGCAAGCCGTAAGTCAGGGCAGCTGGCTTCATAAAAAGCAGCAGCTATTCATCCACCCTTGCCCTAAGAAGCAACTGAGTTATTTCAGTATGACTCGTAAAATAAATACAAATGTACCAGACACACAGTATTATTCCTAATTTAAAAATGGCACAATGCATAAATAAAAAGTAGCTATTTCAGACTGGGCTTTCTCCTACCCCCACTTTCCTTCCTTTTAAAAAAAGAAAATCTCTTGTTGGTTTAACCATACGCTAGAATTATTGGACAGGAGAAATTGGAAAGAATGTTCTGGATCTATGTCTGATTAGTTAAAATAGAAGACTGGGTCACATAGACATACTCTTGGGATCCCAACAAGTTGCCACCAAAAGCAGCTTTTTCCTGGGGTTCCAGCCCAAGACAGGGCTGGGAAAACCAGCTTTCCAAATGAGCGGCAATGCTTTGTTGGCACAGTTGTTCCTCTGCTTGAAATAAAGAAAAATACTTCTGCCATGTAGATAATCCCATAATTATGGTACCATTTACAGTATGAGTTACATTCTTTGACCCTTGTGCAAATTCTGTTGGAGGAATGTTAAATGTTGGCAATCAAACTCAGTGTTGCCACGTTCCAAAAACTTATTGGCAACTGCAGCAATTTTCTCTTCCTGCTATGTATATATGAGTGTAAATTGCATTTGAACTCCACAATAAACCATGGTTCATTATAATGGAAATAAACCTAGGTAAGCCTAGGTCTTTCATCCTCCGCACTCTTCCTACCTACAATGTGGTCACACGGACTTTGGAATCTTTCACTTCTGCTTTTGATTAACTGTACCCTGTTGCCTTGTCTGAACCTGACAAGCTGTGGTTAATCATAACTATGGTTTGTTTGAAACAAACCTACTTCAAGATTACACGAGTAAGGCTTGAATTCCTAGCTGCCTTGATGAATATTTGTGACCAAGAAATATCCATGCAGTTCATCCCTAGATTATTCTTAGGTTGACTCTGCTTAATTTGGCATTCTCAAGGATCAGTAGCTATAAACATTATCATGGGGACATTTTATTTACATTGTGTAAAAATGTGACCTCAGAATCACTGCAACCATCAGCCTTACTGATTTGAAATGGCATTTCCCTGACAACAGTTTTCATGATAACCACTTGTTCAAAGTGCAGCCAAATGACGATGTCAGCATTCAACTATGTCCAATGCAGTAATGGAAAACTAACAATATAGGGGCTATATCTACGTATGAGAATGAGTCAGCACAAGCATCACCTTAGCGAAGTGTTTCTCAAACAGTGGGGCAGGACCCACCAATGGGCCTTGGGCCACTTTCACAACCTGTGCTGTCCCCTAGTCATACTATTGTTGTTGTTGTTGTTTAGTCGTGTCCGACTCTTCGTGACCCCATGGACCAGAGCACGCCAGGCACTCCTATCTTCCACTACCTCCCGCAGTTTGGTCAGACTCATGTTTGTGGCTTCAAGAACACTGTCCAACCATCTTGTCCCCTTCTCCTTGTGCCCTCAATCTTTCCCAACATCAGGGTCTTTTCCAGGGAGTCTTCTCTTCCCATGAGGTGGCCAAAGTATTGGAGCCTCAGCTTCATGATCTGTCCTTCCAGTGACCACTCAGGGCTGATTTCCTTAAGAATGGATGCGTTTGATCTTCTTGCAGTCCATGGGACTCAAGAGTCTCCTCCAGCACCATAATTCAAAAGCATAAATTCTTCGGCGATCAGCCTTCTTTATGGTCCAGCTCTCACTTCCATACATCACTACTGGGAAAACCATACTACAGTGGTACCTCGCAAGACAAATGCCTCGCAAGACAAAAAACTCACTAGACGAAAGGGTTTTTTGTTTTTTGAGCTGCTTCGCACGACGATTTTCCCTATGGGTTTGCTTCGCAAGACGGAAACGTCTTGCAAGTTTGTTTCCTTTTTCTTAACACCGTTAATACAGTTGCGACTTGACTTCGAGGAGCAACTCATAGAACGCGGTGTGGTAGCCTTTTTTGAGGTTTTTGAAGCTTTTCCAAAACTTTCCCGACACTGTGCTTCGCAAGACGAAAAAGAATCGCAAGACGACAAAACTCGCGGAACAAATTAATTTCGTCTTGCGAGACACCACTGTATGTCATACTATAGGATAGGCCAATGCCAATGGCGTATTTAGTTAAGGTGGCCTTTAGATCTATTACCAACTACCAAGTTAAGAGCAACTGAAGTTGGAGGAGGAGGAGGAGGCCATTCAGAGCAGAGAGCAAGATGGCTGAACAGTTGGCCTGGAATTTACAGTTGTGATTAGAATTTACAGTTGTGGCGCCTGCCCTGTGGAATGCCCTCCCATCAGATGTCAAGGTAATAAACAACTATCTAACTTTTAGAAGACCTCTGAAGGCAGCCCTGTTTAGGGAAGTTTTTAATGTTTTATTTATTTTATTTTATTTTAAATATTTTGTTGGAAGCCGGGCAGAGTGGCTGGGGAAACCCAGCCAGATGGGTGGGGTATTAATAATAATAATAATAATAATAATAATAATAATAATAATAATAACTAAAGCATATGCTACATTGTGCCCTACATAATGGTTAAGACAGTCTTGACATCTGTTCCTTCCTCCTAATAAGGAAGGGAAAACTCCTAGCAAGCAGGAGAGGACTACACCCATCCTTAGTTCTCTCTAAAATATAATTTGTAACATAATGCGTACAATAGTTATTATACTTAGCAATGTGCAGACAGACATTGTTGCTGTCTGCCTTTAATTAGGGAATTTGTTTCCCCCTGAAGACTCACCAAAGCCTGAGTTTGAACATCTTCTGGAAATGATGTAAGGCATCATTCAGTCTGGTTTTCACTTTCTAGAGATAGGGAGTGTGTTATTGTGATTTTTATGACTGACATATTGTTACCCACCGAAATATTTGGGATGGGGTGGTATAACAGGTTGTAAATAAAATAAATGAATCATATAAAACATTAGTTCTCATATATCTATTTCAACTGACTGTTCTTTTAAAGCCAACATTTAAAATGTTCCTGGCTCCCATCCATTGTGGGAGGGTCCCTAGCAGAACTCTTCTGGGCTAAACATATTCCAGAAAATTCTCACAGATACTGTTTTGAGGCACGTGAGAATTTGTTTGTTGCTATCTGTTTATTCCTTGGTAATTGTTAAAGTGGCGTTTATCTCCTGTTCTCACCCATGTCCTTTCCTAAAATGAAAACAATCCACTTTCATTCTCCATCAATACAATTCTCTACATTTTGCACTAGTTAATATGTGAATGCTCAGCTGCAGCTTATTACACTTTTACTTTTCCTTGGCACACAATTCTCTTTACAGTTCTTGTAGCTACAGCCGTCTCCAATTTTTCCTTCCATGCATATAATCTGAGGCTGGTTGCCATGGACCTGCATCTCAGGCCAAGCTTTGTTCTGGGAAGAAGCCACACCCTAACCTCTTCCTAAAACTGATTTTAGGACATTTACTTACTATTTGCTTCCCATGCCGATTGTTTTCCCCACTTATACAGTCATTTGGTTTCCCCCCACTTATACAGTCATTGCAAGTTTTACTCATTTGAATCCTGTTTACTCAGCAGTAAATTAAATACAGCTTATTCAAAAAGAAAAAGTATGCACAGGACTGCTGGATGTCAAGGACTGGTAGGGCTCTGACAAGTGTGTGACAGGTTAGGGAGATGGAGGCTGACCCAGGAGAGGGGCCAGTGATTTATGGGTTTTAGTGCCACTTGAGAGGCAGGAGCCAGGGGGAAAGGGAAGGGTCTGAGCAATCAGAGACA